TGAAAGCACAGTGTATTGGAAAGAATGGGCACTGCACAGTACTGCACATTTTACACCGGTTTTTCTTACAGCTAACACCGGACAATCTTGTTTGTATTAAAAGTACCTGACCCCACCCTCCTGGGGATACTGTTTGCTAACCTACCAATCAAACCTATTACTAGTTTGGTTTGAGCCTTCGCTTCTGTAGAGCAGCGGCAGCTGTACCAGGCCTGTAACCATGGGATACCTGAGTGACAGGTGACCGGCTGGATGGTTGAGGCGAATCTTCAGATGTTCTCTGAGTACTTGGTGGGTCTGGTAAAACTCTACCAAAAAAACATGGCCGCCGTTAAAACCCTCTATAGAAGATGACAATCTGCTACAGCACCACCATATTACCCCCTCCATGGTTGAGGGGGAACTGGGTCAAGTTGGCATGGTATTGCATTGTGGGACTGTTTAGGGGACGAAATAGACGCCATCTGAGAAATGTTTACCCTTAGACAGTCCCACAATGCACTGCAATGCCAACTCAACCCAGTTTTTCTCAACCTCCGAATGGCTAAAGTGGTGTTGCTTTGTACCCATGCTAGACCAGAATGCATCATGCCTTAGGGAACCCGATAATTATATATTGATTATTTATTAACTATCAATACCTTTAACGCCTGAGAGCTCTGACAGGAGCTGAAGACGACCTCAGCTCAGTCTCTACCACAGATGAAGCTGATGGAGGGGTCCTGGCAACCACCGTAGATATTGATTGATTTTCATTGACGTCCAAATCCAACTTATTCTTTAGTAACCGTTCTACTTTTTCTTCTGTGGATGTTTGTCGATACCTTGCAAGGGAATACAAGTATATGTCAGTATTGAATTGTAGGGGGAGGGGTATTCCACAGGAAGCCCATGATAAAGAAAGGTCAAGCCTCTGATAAGCAGCCAAGGGAATAAGCCTAAGTCATAGTTTAAGAATCGATTCCACTGCGTATGCGATTTTATTCCGAATTTCTCACCTTCTTTTGTTTAATTAAGAACAAAAGAAGGTTTAGACAAAAGAAGGTGAGAAATTTGGGATAAAATCGCATGCGCAGTGGAATCGATTCTTAAACTGTGAAAAGGCTTATGCCAGTACATGGCAGGACATGTTCAATTTTAGGGGGGAGGGGTAAAGTTAATTGTATTCCACAGGAAGCCCATGATAAAGAAAGGTCAAACCTCTGATAAGCAGTCAAGGGAAACATGGCTTTCCATAAGAATGGTTATCGTATGAGTGGGAAACAAAGAGTACTGACTTACAGCACGTATATGGTATGACATGCCGTAACATTGAAATGGCTTTCCATAAGAATGGTTATCGTATGAGTGGAAAACATACAGTACTGACTTACAGCACGTATATGGTACGACATGCCGTAACATCGAAATGGCTTTCCATAAGAATGGTTATCGTATGAGTGGGAAACATACAGTACTGACTTACAGCACGTATATGGTATGACATGCCGTAACATTGAAATGGCTTTCCATAAGAATGGTTATCGTATGAGTGGGAAACATACAGTACTGACTTACAGCACGTATATGGTATGACATGCTGTAACATTGAAATGGCTTTCCATAAGAATGGTTATTGTATGAGTGGTTAACATACGGTACTAACTTACAGCACGTACAAGGTACTACATGCCGTAACATTCAAAATGGCTTCCCATTGTCTTCAGTAATTCATCAAATCACATAGCATAGTTACGGCTACAGTACAGTTATGGCTATACATTTGCCGTATAATTTCCCACTCATACCAAAACCACTGTAKATAATGTCTTGATCAATACCTTCTTATCCTAAACTCTCCAGAAGTGTGTGGTCGTTGGAGATCCCTCCCCACCAGGGGTGCTGTAGGTAATGATCTCCCCAAAGGAGATGGTCTTTTGTGACGATGTTCCTTGGGTGGGGGAGGGGAGGGTGACATTTCTGGTCGAGGAATGGTTGGTGATGCCGAGGAAATGGAGTCAGCTGCTTCAGTTTTTCTTGGTGAGGAAAAAGGGGATTCCCTGAAATGTAAACAACATCTCTTTTTGAGTTTTTTATTTTTGTATGCTCAAGATATTAATTTTCTTCTGGCTAATCATCTTAGTTGTTTCATTCAACCACTGATTAATTATTATTATTTATAGTTATTATCCTTTTTATCATCAGTATCATCATTGTCGTCGTCATCACCATCGTCATTATCATCATCACCATCTGGCATCATCATGTTCATCATCACCATCATTGCTATCATCATCATCCTTATCTCATTACCATTATCTCTGTCATCCTCATCATCATCTTCACTGTCATCATCATCTTCACC